TTTATTAAATCCTTCTGTAGAGAAGGTAATTGGATTAATTATCCCCCTTAAGGTGCTAACGGTTGATAATAAGGAATGAATTACTCTTTCAGGAGTATTTGCATTTTAATTGGGGACTCCTAAAAACCAGGGCCCAGGTTCTCAAACTTTTTGGTCTTAGTACATCTTTGCATTCTTGAAAATTGAGAAGCTTTCCCCTAAGAAAGCTTTAGTTTATATGAGATAATCTACTGATATTTACCATATTAGAACTAAAACATCTTGAGTATAACTATAAAAATAGTTTTGACCTCATGGACCCCTAGAAAGGTTCTTGAAGACTCCCCAGTCATCTTTGAATGACACTTTTAGAACACAGGTGGTCTTAACCGAAAGGAATGATTTGATTTTAGGGACTCCTGACATTTGTGAAGGAGATGCTGGTGGGGGGGGTCTTCCTAGCTCCCCTCACACCAAGTCATGTAAGCAGCTGGGACCACAGTATCAGGTCAGCCTTGTTTATACACAGGACACGAGCATTTTCACATCCTTCCCCCAAATAATTTCAGTGTCTTGTGAACTGATAACAGCTGACTGACTTCTGAAGTTTACAAAGCTCTTTCTATCTATCATCCCATTTGATCTTTAGAGCTTTCTGCATGAGGCACATAATGTAGATAGTATCATCATCCGAGTTTCACAGATGAGGAACTGAAGCTCAAAAAGGAGTTTAGTGACCCAGCTACCCTTTTAGAGTTTACAAAGTGCTTTACCAATGTGGGGTAGCTACTACAAGTCTCATAATCCTCATTTTATAGCTAATGCTAAGGCTCAGGGGTTAAGTGACTTGCCCAAGGTCACACAGTTAGTGTTAGAGTTGAGGTTCATAGCCAGATCTTCTTGACTCATGAGTCTAGCATGTGGCTGATTATTCAACACGTCGCACTCCAACTGATTTGCTTGATTTGGGAACTGGCCCTGTTTGAACATGCATGTGCATATTTTCACCCTTATACTCAGTATCTCATGAGTTAACATAACCTTCAGCAGCATGGCTGCCCTTGCCCACACCCCCTACATACATACTCCCTTTCTCTCTAAAGACCTAGTGACGACCAATGGACAAGATGACCAGAAGACCTAGAGAGCTGGAGGGCAAGCTTCAGGAAGCAAGGGAGGAATAGAAGGAAGTGGTGGAGGGAAGCCTGGTGGAAGGGAGGCCAGATGCCGGAAAGGACCTCTCCTAAACCCTTTATTCTCTCTCTTGTCCCAGGCTCAGACACATACTCTGTCTTCCTCCTCCAGCCTTCACCCTCTTCTTCTGCTCCTCCCTCCTTATCTGAGACACCAGCCAAATGCTAACTCAAGCCACCCACCCATCTCCATGGCAACCAGAACCTCCAAAGCCCCCACACTGCCTTGATAAGACCCACCCACATGGGCCTCCCAGGTTTCTTCCCTCCCAGTTACTCATGCCAGACTTCTCACTGTAGGACAGGGGTCTAAGTATGGTCGTGGAGTGAACAGGCCCAAATCAGGGGCTCTGGGATGACAAGAGGCAAAAGGCCAACTTGAACACAAGTTCAAGAATTTTAGAGTTGGAAGGGACTTTGGACACAGGTGGAGTGGAAAGAATTGTGGTCTTAGAGTCAGGAGACCCGACTCCAGGTCCTGACACTCAGCTAGCCGTGTGACCTTGTTCGAGCCATTTAACCTCCCATTCCCTAGGAGAATGTAAGCCCATTGAGGGCAAGGACTCCCTCTTTTGTATTTGTATATCCAGCCTAGACAGTGCCTGGAACAGAAAAGGCATTTAACCAACGCTTATTGAATGACTGATAACTTTCCATTCTGCTAAAATAACTCTTCCCCCTTCCCCCAACTGTTGTGAGGAATGTGCAATATTTTATATATATACATATACATATATATATATTCACACATACATCTGTCTCTCTATATATCCACATACATATATATCATAGATAATATATATTATATTACTACACTAGACTATATATGATATGTTATATGCTATGTACATAGTGTATTGATCACATATACTATATATAACACTAGAGTTATTATTGTCATCTAGTTTAACTTTCCTCCCATTAAAGGAATACCTTCTATCATGTCCTCCGTTCCCCAACCTTCTCCCTGGGGGCTATATTGGAGCAGCATATCCAGGAAGAAACTCAGGGGAGATACATATACATATGTACACCACACCCCCCTGGTCCCTTGTAGTGTCAGCAGGGTGAGGCTAGGCATAAAATCAGCCCCAACTGGCTACTAATTAGGAATTAGTCCACATGAGCACGAGTGTTGGGGTTAGGATCAGCTCTGCCCCTAGGTATTCCTGTCCAGTTTTCTCAAGGTCTTATTTATTGCCATCTCTCTCTCTCTCTCACCCTCTTCTTCTTTCCCTTCTCTCCCTTCCCCCCCCCCGTTTTTCCTTCCCTTTCTTTCACCATCTTCTCTCCTGGTTTCCCTTTCACCCTCTCCCATGCCCTCTCTTCACCAAGTTACTGTGGCAACAGTTGGATGCCTGAAATAAAGACTGAATCCAGCTAGGTCACAAGTTTCCAAAATGGCACCCTGGGCTGGTGGGGGGAGGGCACAGTCTAAGAGACATTCTCATTGTGTGATTAGGGATGGGTAGTAGCTGACCCGTGCCCTGTATGTACTCTCTTGCCTGTCACCAGAAATGCCACCAATGCAGAACTAAGCCCCAGTCTCTGGCTTTCATCAAGAGTTTGTTGTTTTTCCCCGTTTTGGGGAAAGCAACACAGCTGTTTCCTCTTGCCTCATTCTTTTCCTCTCTTTTCCGTAAGGTCTCCAGGCACCTCCATCTGTTGTGTTTGGGACTGTTCTGGGCCTAACACACCATGTCCAACAGGCCACTCTAGCTCTAGTCTGTGAGAAGAGAGGAGTGGCCAGATGACATGGGCATTTCCAGGCCCAGATGCCTGGACCTTCACCTAGCAGCCAGCTGCTCTGGGGTTTTAGTAACTAGCTCTCCAGCAGCATGGGGGTAGGTGGGGAAGGGAGGGAAATGCAAAAAGCAGCCAAGGTGACCTCTGTCATTTCCGAATCTATGGAAGACCCTTTCCACTTGAGGCTGACCACGGTCAAAGTTAGGGGTCCTACATCCTGTCCCTGAAGAGGCCTCCTCTATGTTCTCACTGCCCCTCCCCTGCTCCGTTCAGCGCTCAGCACCTCTGGTGCTCATGTTCTCTCTCCAGCCCCTATTTATAGCTGGCACTACTGGCTGGTAATAGTGTCACTTATCCAAGCTGCACTGATTACTACTGTGGGAGAGGGAAGGGCCCAGGACTTCATGGGGATGATCCCCCCATGCCCTAAATCCATCTGCCTGGGGGCATCCCTGGGGTGGAGCTAGAAAGAAGGGATTTTAAACTATCCTGGCCCTGGTTTTTATACAAACACACACACACACACACACACACACAGAGTACCCACATATACATAAATGTACCTGTTATATACACATGTTAGTATATCTACATCCATGAAGTAAGCATGACAGACATGTTGGTGCCTTCCCTCTGAAATTCCATCCCATCTGCTCAGCGTATCTGTTGCACGCGCAGAGTTACTGATGTGTTGTAGAACGTGAGCTTCTTGACGGCAGGGTCTCCGTCTTTACGTTTCTTTGTATTTCCAGCACTAAGCACAGTGTCTGGTACCTAGCAGGCCCTTAACCAAAGCTTGTTGACTGGCTGCTTGTCTGAGGGGCCGACATGGTTGTTCCATGCACACCAAGGCAAAGGCTGACAAGCTGTTGCATAACACGCCACCCAGGGATACGGAGTGATGCATAGCCATATCACAAGCATTGGCACTCACCCACGCACCCCACTGCCACACTCTTCAGATGACGCCCACTTCCCCAGCACCCACCCACCCATCCATACCACGTGCTTACATTTGCTCTCAAACTCACAGACACACACACACACACACACACACACACACACACACACACCCTCTTTCACAGAGCTCTCCAGTGCCTAGCACAGTGCCTGGTACACAGCAGGTGCTTCATAAGTATTTATTGTTTGAGCTCCTCTATCCCTACAGTACACAAAGCTTCCTTCGCTCCTGGATCCCCTTTCTTCTAGCTTTCCAGATATTCCCAAGTAGGACAATGAACTGGAGACAAGAGAAAGGGAATGGGTACCATGCCTACCCAGCAGGACAGGGGGAGGAGGTGAGAGGAAGGACAGGGCAGGGCCGAGGTGCCCTGGGGACCTTCCTGGGCCTAAGGGTTTGTTTAGCCCCCACCCTTTTAATGTACTTCAGGCTTTCCAGTATAACAAGGAGCAACAGGGTCAGGGCCTGCAGCCTCACCCTTCTAAAAACCTCATTCTTCCACCAGCCCCGGCCCAGCACAATGGTGAGTTAACTCTTTGTGAGTGGCCTGAAACAGCCGTGGATAAGACGGGGGCTGGCCTGGTCCCCTCACCTTTGTAAATGGAAACACCAAACCTACAGCAAACATGACCAAACTTTAGACTGCTACCTAACTGGGGATGTCCGTGGGGGGAGGGGAGGATGTTAAGTTGCAGATTACTGAAAGAGATGCTAACACTTTTCATCCATTCCCATACCCCAATGACCCCATTCACTCCTGAGCAAGCAGGTTAGTTCTATCCAGACGGGTGGGACAGATGCTCTGTGGCCAGGGCACAGATCACACAGCCCTAGGTTCCCCTCCAAGCTGCAGACCCCCTTTCTCAAGGAGGTCTCAAGGCCAAATCCAGATACAATTCAGCCTGTTCAAGGAATGGGCCCATCCAGAAGTCCTTCCTCCAAAATAAGGGGCAATTACCATGCCAAGGCAACCAGCCACTCTCTCACTCCCCCATCTCAATTCAGTCCATCTGTGGAGGTCCTCGGAGCCATCTCCCTCCCTCCACACACACATGAATGGGCCTTGCTGCCTGGCTAGAAGCATGCCACCATGGGTGAGAGAAGGGAAATGTGCTACCTACCTCCTCCTGGGCAGCACCAGGGCCCTGGATAGCCTGTGTCCTGGGTGGTAGATCGAGGGGAAGGACAGGGGGAGCTCAAACACAAATCCACCGGCCTCCCTTTATTCATCCACCTAAATAATAGTCGTCTCTCCTGGGAAATGGGCACTGGCTTTTCCAGAGTAAAAAAAAATAATAATAAAAATAAAAATAACCGGAAAAGAGCCAGATTGGGGGTTGGTGTTTTGGGTAGGAGTCAGGAGAAGGGGTGGCTAGTCTTTGCTAAGCAGGTTTATATCTTTTCCATGCCCCCAGCCCCCTCTCACCCATGTTCCCTGGTTCCTCTTAGCCTGCCGGGATGATCTCTGGGTTTGAATTGGTCCCCTGATGCTGGGGAGCCGGTATCTGGCTGTCAGGCAGGGCAGCTGCTGGTTGGCTGGCTTATTTCCTTCATACACACCCTCCAAGCTCCCCCACCCCCAGCTGATAGCATGTGTCTGGGCCTAAGCAGGGAGGGAGGGAGAGAGGGAGTGTGTGTGTGTGAGAGAGAAAGAGAGAGAAGAGAGAGAGAGAGAAGAGAGAGAGAAGAGAGAGAGAGAGAGAGAAGACAGACAGAGAGAGAGAGAGAGAGAGAGAGAGTGGAGTGTTGAGTGTGTGTGGTGTGTGTGTGTGTTGTGTGTGTGTGTATTCTCCATTGGAGCATCGGAGTTTATGCCTGAGCTAAGCTTGCTTCCACCCCTGTTCTGCTGCTGGCTCTGACCATTTCAGAACAAGAGGAGAATTAGCTCAGCATCATGACAAAGCAGAATTCCCATAGCCACCAGTGCATCCATCTGACTGTTGATTTTTCCTCTTTTACCACACACACACACACACACACACACACACACACACACACACACACACACACACACACACGGTATCCTTACAAAGAAATGAACAACTCCAGCCCTGGACTAGGCCTGTCCAGTGACAGACAGGAGCACCTCAGCCCCAGATAAGCCTGAGGGGAAGAGCAAATGTCTTTCTCCTCCAAACACCTGGACAGTCCCTCTCTTACTCCACCCCATAAGTGGCAGGGGAATTCTCCAGGGTAGGCAGCACTACTGAGACACAGCCCTCTCAGGTACAGTTATACATGCCACAGGGCATAAGGTAGTCTGGGGGCAATGGTACAGGTGGGGGTGAAAGAAGAGAAGGCTAGAGATATTACGGTGGCTCACCCAGGGGGGTCAGGAATTAAAGGAAGCTGCAGTAAAATGAACTGGAGAGGCCCCATTACTTATCAGGCCTGCTTTCTCCTTCCTTCACCTCCCTGTGATCTCCAAAAAAACCCCAAACCCAAGCCCAAAGCAGGCACATTTCTATTAGTGCCAGGCCACAAGAATTGCTCCCTCCTTGTCCCTTTCAGATACTATAAAAAATTCATAGGTTGTCACTAAAGGCTCACAGAAAAAAAAAAAAAAAGCCTGGGGAAACTGAGGCAAAGCTAAAGAATCCTTTGTACCTATCCTTTCTCCCACCTGCCAGGAGTGAACAGGGGCACAGCTCAGTTAGGTCATGGATGACCAGGAGCTCAGATTTCCAAGTCCTCATGCCAGTTTTCCAAACTTCCTCTCTCTCATCCTGCCCCCACTTGTCTACCTCAACATCCCCTACTGTTGCCCTAGTAACGACTGCCTACAGTCAGTCCGTAGATGGTGGCAGTTGTTGTTCAGGAAACCCAGCATCTGAAGAAGGGGTCTTGGGGCACTTTTATGACAAATATCAGGGTATCCAGTCCCAAGCATCTAGGGGAAATGTTTCTTCTTCTCAAGGGTTTGGTAGTAAAGGCAAGAAGAGGGGAAGACGTCTGGAGGCATGATTAGGGGACAGGGCGTATTCAACAAGAGAAAGGAGGAGTTAGGCAGGGGGAAAGAGTCAGATGAATGAGATGGGAAGAACTGGGTGGTTTGTGAGGGTGGATATAATCCTGGGGTGAGGAAAGATAAAGGGGTGTGTGGAAATGTGGAGAAGAAACCTGGGGAAAGAAAAGAAAAGCCTGATCTATTTAAAGAGGGGAAAAAGGGGTTAGGAGAACAGATAGAAGGCTTTGGAAGAGGGTGGATGGATATAACCTTTAGGAAAGGTGGAGATGACCTGGGAACGGGCAATACAATATTTTTATTTTAAGATAAGGAGTCTCAGCCTTTGCCTTCCATTTCCCTCAATTCTGTCCTTCCTGTGCCCTGAATCAAAGCTTGTATCAGTAACAGTGGGAGGCATATAAGACATAGCTGGCTTTCTACCTAGGAGCCTAGGAGGATATACCTCCCTCCTCCCCAGTGTCCTGCTTCTACCTCAGTCCTGAAAAAAACACCCACATGCATATACCTTAGCCTATATGTGAGAATAAGAACCAGGCAGCCTTCTATCATCAGCAGCCTGGGATTAATCCTTTCTACCACCCCACCCCAAGGTCCTCCTCAGGCCACCTCTTTCCCTTTCCTGAAAACCATCACTGTAATGGAACCAGGAAGCTTCCTCTGGGGCTGGGAGAGGCTGACACCCAGAGGGCAGCCTGCGCCTGGAGTAAGAGGGATAACTGGGAGCCACGGTGGTGGCAGGAGGGAAAGAGGAAGGTCGGGGGAGTACATTTCTCTCTTTCAATAGAAACATAAGTGGGAGGGAAGTAAGGGTTGGGGTTGGGGGCGGGGGCTATGGGGATGAAGGTAAAGGACGGAAGTAGGAGGGGGGTTCTTGCAGTACCTTTGATTCAAGGCCCCTGAGCATGGGGCTGAGGTGCAGTAGCAGCAGCGGTGACACAGACCTCCATCCCTCGGTGCATCTCCTCCCCGCCTCCCGTTGCCACGACAACTTCCTGGCCAGATCAGCAGCAGCAGCAACAGCAGCAAGGAGGAGACAACTCCTCCTGCTTCTTCTTCCTGGGTGGGGGGGGGAGGAGGGAGAGGGAGGGAGGGAGGGAGGAAGAGATAGAGAGAAAGAGAGAGAGAGAGAGAGAGAGAGAGAGAGAGAGAGAGAGAGAGAGAGAGAGAGAGAGAGAGAGAGAGAGAGAGAGAGAGAGAGAGAATGAATCATAGGAATGGCGATGAGGAGGTATGGAAGAGCTAGGCAGTCCTAAGCAATCCATCTGCCTTCCTTGTTCACTCCTGCCTCTTGTTTTTTATTGTTCTGGGTTTTTTTAAACCTACTTTGAGGTAAGGGATGGGTTCCTGAGGCTGTCTCCTGGGCCCCTCATTTCAGGACCAAAGAGAGGAGGACTGGGTTTGTTGGCTGGAGGGAATGGGGGATAGAAAGCCTGGAGTAGAATTGTTCAGAAGTAGTGGGGAGAACAGGGTAGGGAATAAGAGCCTTGGACAAAGATAAGTACTTAATATGACAACCAAATAGATTCTCCCCCCCCCCATAGGTGACCTCAGACTGGGAGATATATGGGCGCAGACAACATGACCAGGACAGGGTGTTGATTCTGATTGAAATGTCAAATGAAGCTGAGGGTACCATCTGACCTCCTCCATCCCATCACAGTCCTCACTGCCCTGATTCCCGGGGTGGGGGATGAGGAAATGGGGAGGGGGGTTGGAAGACCACCCTCTCCCAATCCCATAGGCCCCCTCATGTTCAATTCCTACTTAGACAAGGGGCAAACAAAGTTATAATGGGGCGAGTATACTTATCCTGTCCCAAACTCTAGGAACCTCATGATGTCTCCTTTGCCAGAAAAGACCATACATTCATGTCTGGAGCCAAGGGCGGGTGCAAAAGGGGCTGGAGAGTCAGGGCTCCCCCTGCTGACCACAGCTGTGAGCTGCACACTGCCAAGGTCATTACCGGAATGAAAACTAGTGTTTGACTCCCAGAGGGAGTTGAGAAGGGAGAGGCTCTTGAGCAAAGAGGGGTGGTCATTCCCTTTCCCCCAGAATCCACCATCTCATAGCTATGAATGGGCCTTCCCATGCCTGTGTAAGATTTTCTCTTTTTTCTGTTTCTGTCTTTGGCAACAACTCCCTCCCTCCCTCTCTTTCTCCTGGGAAGGAAGGGCTCTAGCTGGCTGAATGAAGAGGACTAGTTGCTCCTTTCCCCCTTGTCTCACCTGGTTCAAAGCTTCTCACAGAGGCCAGGGTGGTTGGCAGAGTAGTCCTGGGAAGCCCAAATTCCCATGGAGGGGTGAAGCCAGGGATAGCCCTTCCACGGGGTCCCATTCCCCACCCTGAGCCACCCCCCCACCCCGAGCCACCCAAATTGGATCTGGGGGCTACTTTGTGAAGGCATCTAGTTCGCTTTCCAGTTGAGCATATTCCCTTAGGCACATACAGGAAACCTGGCCTAGGAAACAACTTCAGCTGCAGCAGCCTAGTGTCCTGTGGTCTGAAGGAGGGGCACTTGCCACCCAAAGTGGCCAAATCCAGGGTTCTGTGAAGAACCTAGCCCTTTCAGAGATGTCCCCACCCGGTCTTTGATTCTTTTGGCCAGGAGGAAGGTCACTCATGCCAGCTGTCCAGACTCACCTCTTTCTTGGCTCCCTTTTGGCTTCCTCTGCTCACTTTGGCCTCAGGGCCTAGGCCTGCGCAGTGGGGTTTTTCAGTCTCACTCCAGTGCTCCCCTTTGCCTATCACACATTCCTCCTGCCCCCTCTCCCATCCCCCTCTCAAGGCTTCCTAGGCCCTGCTGAGGGAGGCTGGAAGGAGGGAAGCTTCCCTAATGGAGGTTAAATATTAACCATTAACCGAGTTTGATTCCAGAGAGGAGGGAGGAGGAAAAGGGAGAATGATGTAGGGAAAAAGAATCCAAATTTTTCAATAGTGGAGACATGATCAGATACCTATGTGGATATGGCCTAATGATTATTTAAAATTACAATCAGTGATTGACCCAAATTTGCTGTCATGGCACCTGGTAACAGTCAGTTACCTACCTGTTGCTTCAGCTTATGATTAGATCCTGATGGCCTACTGTTAGAGCCCTAGCTAGGACAAAAAATATGAGGTGGTAGGAGTGGTCGTAGGCAGTTTTGGAGAGTACAGTCCAACTGCTGGTCAAGTTGTGTTGCGAAAGAGGGCAGCCTGCTTCCCAGAGAATCTGGTGGCCCTTATATCGACGGAGGGAGAAGGAAGGATGGCCCTGAGAAGCGAATGGATTTTGGGGAGTGGGGTGGCACTGGTGGTCAAAACGGGATCAACATTCTAATGATATGCTCACAGCCTTAGCTATTCTCACCCACTCAGTCACTGGAAGAAAGCATAGGCACACCAGTGCCCTATAGCCAAGCCCAAGTACAGCCATACTTGAGGATCTAGAGGACCACATGGGGCCTTTAGGCCCCAGGTTCCTACCCTTGGCCAAGCCCATCCATTCTGTAGTAGTTAAGGCCCTGCCTATGAAATCTTGGAATAATCAGGAAAAAAATGTTCTGAGTGCCTGTGACATTGGGCAAAGAGGCATGAAGAGGAAAGAAGAGGGACAGGGACCTAGGTTATAGGATCTAGAGCTTCCATTTAGTCCAGCAGTTCTCAAAGGGTAGTCTGGTGACTACCAGAGGGTCCTCCAGACTCTTTTAGGGGGTCAGTGACACCAAAACTATTTTCACAATACAAAGACATTTTAATTTCTAGTAAATGCTGAAGTAACCCACATAAACAAAAGTTTTGAGAGACCCTCAATAATTTTTAAGAGTATAAAAGGGTAAAAGAAAAGAGTACAAAAGAATGATGGAACCCCAAAATCAGAGAACCACTTATCTCAACCCTCATTTCACAGATGGATAAACTGAGGCCCATGGAGGGGAAGTGACTAGACCATGATCACACAGTTCAGAAAAGCGGACCCAGGTTCTCTGGCTCAAAATCCAATGCTCTCTCCTCACTGTCTCTCCACTAGACCAAAAACTAATTGGGATTTAAATGTTTGCCAAATGTCGACAGCTTTTTAGAATGACTCTAAAACTCCAAAACAGTCCAGTGATAGGCTCATAGCCTTCCTTATTCGCACCCACCCAATCATTGTTTTTGTTGTTAATAAAACATGTGTGCAGTGCTTTACATTCTGCAGAGCATTTAAAGATCCACTGTCTCATTTTATCCTCACGATAACCGTAGGCCACATAGGCAGCCTGGGGGTCGGTGGTAAAGGCACTGGGATATGAGAAGCCCCAGGTCAGAGGAAGGCTCTGCCATTTCCGGGAAGTGATCCAGAGAACCACCTCAAGGCCATCCCCCACTTCCTAGCCACTTAGGTCAATGACTTCATAACCACAGCCACCACCACTGTCTCTCCCTGTCCAAGCTAGCTTGTATACTATTAGCAGATTCATCTTTTTTAAGAAAATGCTTTCATCATATCACTCCCCTGCTCAAAAATCTTTCTCACTGCCCAACATGATAAAGACATGGATGAAAAGAATCTTGACCTTTTGCAAAGGTCCTCAGACCTACTCTGACCTCTTATTTTACATATGAGGAAACTGAGTCTCCAAGAGGTTCCTGGCACTCAAAATCCTCCAGGATTGGGTCCAGGCTACTTTTCTGTCCCTACTCCCCTTCATAAACCTTTTATGGTAACCAGCAGGGTGTACTTACTCCAGAATGAACCTGATGCTTTTCTGTCCCCAAATCTTTGCTCCTGCTGTTATTTCCCCAAGTAGGTCTTCCTCATTCCTCTCCTTTTTCATGCACTCATGGAAATCCATTCATTTAATAAATATCCTTCAAGAAACAGCTTGAGTCTCTCCTCCCCCACCAGAAAGCTTTCCTTGACTACTTCAGTCCATGGTAATGTCTTCTGAACTTCCCCCAGCACAAAGAGAGACTATATAGGACTACTTTATAGTCCTAACTCTTGGGAATCTTCTCTCCCCAACAGAAGCTAGACTTCTCAAGGACACAGACTGTTTTATTCATTTCTGTATCTTATGCAGTGGCGTAGCCCACTTCTGTGCATACAGTAGACATTTAATAAATATGTGTTGTTTGGCCAGGTACTTAGGTACCATTATTAGTGTGCAAGAACTCTGCTTGCAGAAATAGTAGAGGCTGGCTCTAAAACTTCCACATGGCTTCCAACATGTGGTTTCTCTCTCTCTCTCTCTCTCTCTCTCTCTCTCTCTCTCTCTCTCTCTCTCTCTCTCTCATATTTTGAAGGTAATTGGGGTTAAATGACTTGCCCAGGGTCACACAGCTAGTAAGTGTATGAGGTCACATTTGAATTCAGGTCCTCCTGACTCCAGAGCTGATGCTCTAGTCACTTTCCTATCTAGCTGCACCCAACCCCCAATGTGTGGTTTCTAATCCTGGCTCTGCCTCTGAGTTACTCTGAGAAAATTCTTTCCTTTGGGGTACCTCTCTAGTGAGTTTCCTTTTTAATCTACCTGTCTTTACTTCTCTTTGCCTACATGGGATATCTGGAGGATAGAGAGGATTCCTTCCTATAGTGTGCTTCAGAACTCCTCAGGAGAACCAGGTGGAGGCATCATTATAATAGGATATTATTACTAACCATAGAGCACAGCATCACAGCCTCAGAGCAGCCAAGTACCTAGAGCCCGTCTAGCTTAGTTATACTGGAATAAGACTTTCATTGTATCTGTCTCTGAGAAGTGGTTATTCAGCCTTTGCTAGAGGCCCTCTTGCTCTCACCCAATTCCATTTCCGGACAGCTGTAACTGACATCAAGCCTACATCTGCCTCTTTGCAACTGACTGTTTCTGTTCTGCCACTTGAGGCCAAACAGAACTTGTCTATTTCCTCTTCCAGGTGACATAGATTTTCAGAGTTGGAAGGGATCTCGGAGTTCTAATGCTTCATAAACAACAAACATCCCTGCTACAGTGTAGCTGACAAAATAACACCCAACCTTGCCTTGAAACTCTCCAATGAGGAGAAACCCATTCCTTCTCAAGACTATCTTTTCCACTTTGGGATAGATGTAATTGTTAGGAAACTTTTCCTTTCACCAAATCTAAGTTTGCCTCCTTGAAATTACGTAGGAAAGGGGCAGCTAGGTGGCACAGTGGAGAGAGCACCAGCTCTGAAGTCAGAAGGACCTGAGTTCAAATCCGCCCTCAGACCAAACACTTGATATTAGCTGTGTGACCCTGGGCAAGTCACTTAACCACAATTGCCTAAAAAAAAAGAGAGAGAGAGAAAAAGGAAAAAAAAGAAATTATGTAGGAAAGCATATAAGTAATAAAACTTGGATGTAGTCAGCTGGCTCTTGTTTGCCCCTTCCATAACACTGGCTTCTTCTCTCTGGTGTGATTTTGGTCCTTTATTCTGGTCTTGGCAGGCTATCCTCCTCTGAATCTCTAAATCTGTTTACAGGACTGGAACAAGACATCTGTGCATCCTCAGCAACTTTTGAAAACAGACCCCCTAGTTATTATCTTTCCAAAGGATAATACCCGTAGTACCTTCCTCACAGAATCTGTATGAGAGATAACACCTATAGCTCAAATATGATAACTTATATAAAGTACTTTGTGAATTTCAAGGTGCTAATATCAGCTTTTTTTATTAACTAATAACAATCACTATTGTAATTTATCACAAAAAAATTACCAACAGGCTGTAAGATTTTCTTGCATTAAAAATGTCCATTTGTAAAAGATTGTATTGAAAAGTCTCTTTCTTGTGCTCCCTCTATACCATGTATAATGGCTTATGCAATGCCTACCTTACCCACCCCTAGTCTTGGTTCTTGCTGCCTAGCATCTTTTTAAAAACTGTGGGTTATTTCTTTTTCTTTTTTTCTTTTCTTTTTTTTAAGTGAGGCAATTGGGGTTAAGTGACTTGCCCAGAGTCACACAGCTAGGAAGTATTATGTGCCTGAGGCTGGATTTGAACTCAGGTCCTCCTGACTCCAGGGCCGGTGCTCTATTCACCTCACCACCTAGCTGCCCAGTTATTTCTTTTAATTAGCAAAAATCTATTCTTTTCTCCTTACCATCTTCCTCCATTGGGAAGAAAAAGAAAGAAAAACAAAGCCACTGTAATAAATATGCCTTCCACCTAGCATCTTAAGGCAAGCACCAAGCAGGGGTACCTTTTCTCTATGCACAGAATCACCTAGCAAAGTGGTCAGAGTGTTCTAGGAACATACCACAGCCTTCGTGCAAAAATAAAACGAACTCCAACAACTGATCACCACAATGACTGAAGGTCTATCTTTAGAGATTTGGATTTATTACACTCTCCCTTTGCATGTCTTGCACTTGTCCTCTTCTCTCCACTGATCTTTGCCACCACCTTAATTCATGTCCTCAGTATACATCTAATCTAGAGTATAGTGATAGCTCTGTAACTGGTCTGTCCAAGACAATCTCTTTCCCCTCCTCTGTCTGTCTTTATAGAGCTACCAAAATAATCTTCCTAAGGCCCAGATCTGACCGTGTCATTTCCCTATCTCAAAAAAAAAAAAACCCAAAACAAAACAACTTTCAATGACTCCCTTTATTTATCAAATAAATTATACATTTCTTAGCTTAGAATTAAAAGCCCTCCACAGTCTGACTGTAACCTGCCTTTCCAGCCTTCATTCACATCACTGTCATTTATGGTAAGGACTTTACAGAAGGCCTGGAGTATTAGCTAGTTTAACATGGCACTGTGTATCTTCCTACTCCCTCTGTACATTTGGATAGGCTAGCCATTATGCCCAAAATAAACTCTCTTCTTATCTCCAAAGTTCCAAAATTCTCATCTTCCTTCTTCCTCCTAGACCCAGCTTAGGTGCCACCTCCTCCTTGGTACGGCCTTCCTGAATGATTCTGCTCCCTCCTCAAAATCTGTCCAGATCTCAATTTCACCCTACCACACCCTTCCTTGTGTTATACTTATCTTGGTACATGCTTTATTCCCTAGTTCCCCACCCCCATCCCCAGTGTAAGCTCCCTACACGCAGAGGTCATCTCTATTCCCAGAGCCTAGTACTGTGACCTGCATAGATTAAGCACTTTATAAATGTTTAGTGTATGAATTAGTGTTTCCTTTAAAATTTCTGGGAGGGGCAAATTAAAATACACTTAATGTTATTCAAGTTATTATCAAATGAGATGTAAAACTCTTGGCAAACCTTAAAACACTATGTGATCATTATTTTTTTAAATTAATAAATGTTTATCAGACACTTTCCCCATTGCATGAGCGATACTACAATGATGACACTGGACACTGAGAATGAGGAAAAAGAAAAGAGCATAGAAAGTGGAGACAAGGGCCAACAAAAACAGACCTATGTTCTTCCCAATTCTACCCAGGACAGTCCCTGGACTCAGGCTTCTGAGGTTGGGGGGGGGGGTATGAAGATACCACCCTTGACTGCACCTTTTACTACACTCTGCACATTCCTCCTCAGCCCTCCCTCCTCCCCTCCCCCCCCAATTCCCAGCCCCTCCCAGACAGGTCTCACCTCAAAAAACAAGAAAGGAAACAGTGAGAGCTTTCTCCAGTTGGCCCCCAGAGGCCTGTCTCTGCTGGGGACGGCAAAGAGAGGAAGGGAGAAAGGGAGGGAGGGAGGGAGGGAGGGGACAAGAGAAAGTAAGAGAAGAAAGCGGAGTCAACACAAAGGCCCCGGGTCCACCTTTGAAGCTGTCTCTAACCGGAGGGAGGGAGGGAGTAGGGGGAGGCCAGGCCAGTCAAGAGTTTTAAAGAAAGTCTCAAATTCCAGGAGAAGCCAGAGGGATTGCATGAACTTTCTCCTTCCCTCCTCCCCCCACTCCCAGTTACATGGCAGCCCTAGAGCGCACACACCTCCTTCCCAGCTCCCTAAGCCAGTCTGTCACACCTGGGGGGCCTCAGACCATTGTCCTCTAGGAAGGCTGGGGGGTGTTGGCCCTGCTTTGAAAGGTCTATTGAACGCCAAAGTTATCAGTTGCTGCTGCTGCCCTTCACCCCAACCCTCGCCCTCCCCCCAACCCACCACCAGCTCCACAGCCTCCTGGCAAGGATTAAGCTTCTTTGTGATGGGAGGAGAAAAAAAACGCAATATGGTAAAAAGCAATTATGACAGGTTGGAAGGGGGAGGGGATCCTGCCATGGGGGTCTGGGGGACCTCCCTCTTGGCCGCAGCCACCACTTTCTAAATAGTTCAGGGGTGAGGGGCGTTTGTTGGAGGCGGGAAGAAGTGGTTGTTTGTCTTTTCTAGACAAGTGGTGAGGGCACCGTCGTTGTCGTGTCCTCCACCCCATGCACGCCAGTTTAGAAGTAGAGTTTGCCCTCTTCCCCCCTCAAGCTTCTAATGTTCCCACTCTAGGGAAGGGGAGGTGTCTTTCCTTCATTCCACCTTCAACCCGACTACACCAATGGAAATCCTCCAGAAGGAAAAGGGAAAGTCCAAGTCTCCTTCATATGGGGAAACTGAGGCAGAGCCAGCAGGCGCACAAGCGTGTTTATATGCGTGGATTAGAATTCTTATCCTAGGGCTGCGCTAGTGTCGGGCCTCCTGAAGAAGGGTCTGGGGAGGAAATCTCATAGCGCCTTGGGTGGGGGTTTGGGGGTGGGGGTGGAGCAGTGTGGTGGTGGGAAACTGACCTCACACCTTGCCAGATTAAGCAGGGCAGGAAAAAAAAAAAAGGAAAAGGACGGTGGGAGGAAAAAGAAGACCGCTTTTTGTGGTGGTTCAGTTCCCCTCCCTGGGGGACTACGCAAACCTTCACTGCCCTGCCAACCCACCCACCCAGACGTTTCTGGCAGGGTGCCACTCGGAGTGACCCCAGGGAAGGGGAAGGGGAGGGGGGTCCCCTCACTTAGGTCTCTCCCTGCCGCCATCCGCGCGCACCAGGCCCTACTGTTCCACGCACTGAGATTCCCACTCAGGTGTGTCTGCTTCGCTTCTCCAGCCCAGCCCCGGAGACCCCGGGCAGCCTTGACGGCCCGCATCCCCTCTGCCCTGTGAACCTCCACCTTTCCAGTTCCCATTGCGCCTCACCCGATCGATCGGAGGAGCAAAGCGCGGGTATCGGGGGATCTTTTCCACCCTCGCCCTCCGCAGCTTCAGGTGTTTCGGCGGCCACTGGGAGGCGGGCTGTAGAGATTGGGCCAGTTCAGCGAAGCCCTGGAGCAGTGCCAGGGCCAGTCCTGGGGTCTGGGTGCTCCGCACCATCCTGGGCAAAGTTGGGGGGGCAGTGTTTGTGTGTGGCGTGCGCGCGCCTGTGTGTGTAGGAAGGGAGAGACTTCTCTTCTTCTGTGCTGACCCTGCTGTTGCCTGAGGCCATTCTCCACCTCCGCCGATTTTCTGGTTCCCTCCGCACACTTGTTCAAGTTAGTCTAGTGGGTTTACTTTTCGCCGCGGTGGCAGGCATCACACACACACACTCACGCACGCACACGCACACACACACTACAGGAAAGCTACAAGTCCTTGGCTAGGTCACACTATAAAACTGTCCTTTCCCCTCTTGGCGGTGGGGGCTTCCAGCCTCTCTCTGTCTTCCTTCTCTCCCCTGCTCCACAACCAGGACAAGTCCCCTTCTTCCCCCCACCCCCTCTCCCCGGAAGACAAAGTTTCTGGGCCAAGGTTGGTTCAGGTTCCCTTCTCCACCGCACTAAAAGGAAGTTTGCCAGGCCCTTCCCTAGGCTGCCGACTGGCGGCCTCCAGAACTGCCCCTGCCCCTGGTGGTGCCCCCTCCGCACTCTTATCTCGCCGCACTGTGCTCCTAGCTCTCCCTGGGAAGAGTAGTCTCTTATCTGTCCCCCAGGTAGCATGAGGTGCTTCTCTGCCGGCCTCTTGGAGAAGAAAGCTTGTTGCTAGTAGATTATTATAAGAGCTCGATTCCCTTCACCCTCCTCCCAAACAAACAAAAAAGCCAGTATCCTTTGCAGGAAAATGATTTTATTCGAGGAGTGGCAGAATGGTGAAATACACGTAGGATGGTCAGCCTTTTTTTTTCTTCTTTCTATTAAAAAGGGGGACGGGAGAGGCTGGTCCCTATAATCAGTATTCATGCCAATAGAGATTGGGGAGCGATAGCGACAAACACAGAGCAAAATCTGAGGAGAGTTGTTCAAGAGTGTCTGCAAACTCTGGAGTCCATCTGTCATATCTGTGTCATTTCTGAGCCGTTTCCGCTCCATTTCCCTGGAGATTGGAGCTAGGTGCCTGCATTCAGAGTGACACTTGGAGTTCTCTCTTTGGGCTCTGCCTAGTTGCCCTGAGAGCGGGAGAGCGCTCTCGCGCTCTCGCGCTCTCTCTCTCTCTCTCTCTCTCTGTCTCTGTCTCTGTCTCTCCCTCTCTCTCTCTCTCCCCCTCCCCCCTCCTCTCTCCGCCTCTCTCTTCCCATATTTCTCCCCATCTCTCTTCCTCTTCCCTTCTTTCCCTCTCCCTTTCTCTCCATTCCATATGGGATCTGGGGGTGTCACCTTCTTGGTAGTTTTCCCCAAGGCCCAAGACTCCCCCATTTTCTGCTGCAGTTCTGTCCTCTTTCAGAAGGAGGAGCTCTTGAGTCCCTCGTGGTCCATAGGGCTCCTCTGTGAGTCTGATGGGGGTGACCTTCCCTCCCTCACCCCAGTCCTTGTTACAGGAACGGGGGTGGGGGGGTTGGCTCTGGGCCAGGGCGCCCCCTCTTTCCCCCGACTACGTGAGGGGCTGGGGTCGCCGGGTGCGCTTGGTCCGGCGGGTTGGTGCTGATCCCACCAAACTCAAACTGCTTTTGCCTTTCCCCATGGTTGGGGAACTGCAGCTGGCCCTGGTAGAGACGCTTGATGAAGTGAGCCTCCCGCTGGTTCTGCCGGCTGCGGGAGGCCTGCCTGGGCCGGCCCTGGCGGGTGAAAGCCATGAACCAGCCCTCATGGCGGGCATTCTGGAAGGCTGTGTAGTTATTCTCCAGCACAATCTCTGTAAACACGCAGTCTTTGCTCTTCCCGCTGGGCTGAGGGAGGAGGAAAAGGGGTTCTGGGGTGGGGGAGTCCCAGTGAACCCAATTATATCTCTATAGGGATGCCATGGGTGTAGCCCTTCGGAAACTCTGCATTTAGCCCCGACACCTTAGCGATTCTGCCAGCAGCCTTTATGGAGTGTGTTCTCAGAAATGAAAGGGTAAGGAGATAGATGGGAGCTACCACCCACCCATCTCTAATGGGGAGGTTGTTGTGGGGGTTCAGAGGATCCTTCTGGAGTTTTAAGTTTCTTTCCCTACAGTCTTACTGCACTTAGTCAATACAGATTGTCCTCTTGAATATTCAGGCAGCTTTCGGACAGGGGTAGGCTGGTGCCTTGAGCCCAACACTCAGAAAGATGCAATGAAAGACATTTTTTTAATATATGGTTTAAAAAATGAATGTTTTAAATGCCAGAAAATTCTATGTAAGACAGCATTTAGCTGTTCATTTTTTATAATTACTTTAGGTTCTAGGTGTTAAAAAGAAGTTATAGGAAGGACCTAATTTCCAAATCTTGCCTAGTGTATAAATGCTGATACTTCATTATATCCCTTCTTTACCCTCCATTACCCACCTCACAGAGCCCAAGGCTTGTACATGTAGTACGTGCTCAAAAAACACAATTTATTAATGTAATCTACAGATTATATTAACAATCTATAGATTAATATAATATTATATTAATAATACATAAGGATAATCTATAAACATAGGGGTTCTCTTCAAAAACACTCTCAGATGGGTGGGGGAGAAAAGTTTACTTATTGAGGCTCAGGGAACAGGTGGGATTGCTCATTTAAGAGTCCAAAGGAGAAACAAGAGAGTGGGCCAGAAATGAAGGAGGAATTGGAGAAAGAGATGGAGGAGCAGGTGTTCAAGGATCCCTCCCTACCGCTGTTCCTAGGGCGGTCTCCACCAAGGTGTGCTGACCAAGGTGGCCAGCAGAGGGAGGAGGGATGCCATAGACTGCATCCATTCCAGCCCTGCCCATCCCACCCACCACAGATACCTGTGCCGTGAAACTCAATTCTCACTCCCACCCATGAACCCCTTTTCCCACCAAGGCCTCACCTTCCCAATGAGTTTTCCCCTCTTGCTCATGCAGATGTATTTCTCACTCTCAGCCCCCTTGATGCGAACCCGGCTGCCAAATGTATCTGTTTCCACTATGAGCTTGGCTGTTTTGGAGGTTGGGGTTTGGTTGGAGGTGCAGAGAAGAAGGGAGGGAGAGAGAGAGAGAGATCCGTCCGTCGGGGCTGCAGGCCTGGGCCCTCCACCCCTCATAGTGCAGTGGGCAGGGAAGGGGGAAGAAACTACTTTCAGGCAGGCTAGAGTTGGGCAGGTATTCATCTATCTTTGTTTCTCATCACAATGATCCACCACAATCCCAGAGTCAGGTTCACTCTCCCCAACCACCCCCATCCCTCCTCGGTGTGAGCATTTGATCCCTTCCTGTTCACCCTCAACAGAGGTCATTGTTACCCAAATGACATTTGTGTATCCCTTGTCAAGATTGAGGAGGCGGGGGTAGGGCTGGGGAAAAACGGATTGGGTCTCACCAAACTTGTTGCCGTCCTCAGCAGTGGCGGAGATGCGGCGCCCAGTGACCTGAACATGCTTGCCGCTGGTCCGGCTGTAGAGCTGGTATTCTCGGATCTGCCGCCGGCTCAGCTGGTCAGTCATGGCACCCTGGTCCCTCACATACTGGTTAAAATTAGGAGACGGGTGATTCTCCCCCTTTACAATTACCAAGGGAAAAATAGTGTCAATTTGCTTTGGGCAATACCACTACCGGCCCACCCCAAAGGAGAAGGAGTAAAGGGTGAGGTTGGTCTTGGTGGGGATACGAAGGTAAAGGGTGGAGCAGGAACTATGAGGAACATGTAAGCATGTGCTCAAAAGCCTGAGAAAGGAAAAGATAGAAGATTCCATGCTCCATATGTTCAGTGGCTGAACAAGGACACTACACCCTCACCCATATGCTTCTCTTTCTTCTCATTTCCATTCTTTCTAGGATGGGGGGCGGGGGGAATCTAACCTAACCTCTTCATTTTTTAGATAAGTAAATATGGGCCCAGAGAAGGTAAATGATTTGCCCAAAGTCACACAGTGAATGAGCCTTAGAACTGGGAAAAGAGCTCAGGTATCCTGCTTCCCACTTTCCGTGGGAATAAGGGGAATATCACTTCCAGGTCCCTGCGCTCCTGCCAAGCCAGGTGGAGGTAGGGAGATGGAGAATGGAAAAACACATGAGAGAAAGAGAAAGAGAAAATATGTAATTCAGATATGGGAATGGAAGTAGGGTTAAGGGCCAGGACTCAGCAGACTTAGCCCTATTTACCATGAAGAGGAAACTCCTCTCCTCCCTCCTCTCCCACATAACATCCATTAACAGAAATCAAGCCTGTTATATGCTTCGAAATCCCTAGCAAGGGGCAGGAAGAACCAACAGAGTGAATCCTGGTGGGCCTTATGAGGATCTCTTGGTCTCCTAACCAAGCCATTGGCATATTTTAAACTAGGGGATCTTAACTTGGGGTCTGTGGGCTCCCAAAATGTCTGTAAATAGAGGCTCCATTAACCTAGATGGGAAAAGCAATCATATCTTTATTTTTCAGTAACCTCCAACTGCAATTTAACATTTTCTTCAATTATTTGAAAGTGTTACTCTGAGAAGGGGTCCATAGGCTTCACCAGACTGCCACAGGAATGCACCCCACCCCCCAAAAAGGTTACTTTGAGAAGGGGTCCATGGGCTTCACCAGACTGCCACAGGGATACACCCCACCCCCCAAAAAAGTTAAGAACCTCTATTTTAGACAACCATCAGGAGAAGGAGGTGGGTTTCTAGAGAGCTGACCCAGGAATTCTGAACCATGGATGGTCCACTTGACTTTAGCCTCCTGTGCATGGTCTCTAGCCATCCCTGGACTTGGCAAAGGTCCTGTCGCTGCCCTAGACTTTAGGGTCTGGGTGCCCTGTTGGGCTAGAAGGAGCAGCAGCAGCAGCAGCAGCAGCAGCAGCTGACAAACGTTGCCAACTCCAGTTACCTTCACTGCTTCTGCCTATGCAGACACTTGGGGCCACAAAGTTACCACTGCTTGGCCCTCTCTCACAGCTGGAGGCTGGCCAGGAGTACTGCCTGCTTCTTCTGGACAGCTGGAGCCCGGGGTTGGGATGTGGGGGTGTGGAAGTTGGGGGCAGGCAGGTGAAAGGTAAAAGCATGGATGTAGTAAGGCTTGAGTCCAGTTCCTGCTTGGGACTGTTTGTATGACCTAGGGCAAGTAACTTCTGTTTGAGCCTCCATTTACTTATTTAGAAAATGGTATTTATAAGCTATGAGGAATGTTTGTCTTCCTATCTCTTCCCTGTTCTATAAGTCATCTTCCACTGGTTCTTGGCCCATCTATCTGCTGGTTCTTGTTTTAAATGCATGTGTATATGTACATACATGCATATATATATTATATATAT